CTGGGTAGCCATTTTAGGCTGGGTCGACCTGTGACACCCCATGCCATGATAAAAATCCACGCAGCCAGCAGTGGGATTCGGTCGCGATACGTTGGCATTACGAGTCAGACTCCCAACACCTAAGCCAGGGATGTCACATGTTTTCATCTATATATAAAAATTAATTATCTTTTAAATTTGTTCAGGTTGTAATCAATAAATAGGAATGGAGTAAAGCTTTTTATAATGTAAACATCTGCTGTGCAAAAAATAATGACGTCAAAATGGTTTTATAAAACATATCTTTTCACAAGAGAAGCCCTTTTTAAGTGAATATATTCATATTCGGGCCTCCTAAACATTGCACAAGTTCAAACAGAACCAATGGCATTTAACTATGCTTCTTGATAAGAGGCATTTATGATAATAAGTCATGGACCCTGTTTCAAGGTTTCTTGGGACGACAGGGTTAACTCCTGTTCTGAATGTCTGCTAATTTAATTAATTGCAACTCAACGACTGTTGCCTTAAGTACAGAAACTCTCTAGCAAGTTCTGAAGTAACAATTGCCTGGTACTGAGAGAGTTAAAATATCAAAACCTATTTCTAACTTCCTATTAAATTTCCCACACTACAGAAGTAAAAGAGGCAACATCCGGAACTGTCTTCTGTTCAACTTTTTTCCACATGTGTCTGTTTCCTGCCAGAATTACAGTATCTGCCAGGAATAATCCTCTAAATCCACTTCATCTTACAGCCTCAAAAATCAGCAATAATGCCGTCAATAAACATCACAGTTCACTGGAACAATCTCCCCTGTGGGTTTTGGGACCCCATTGGTGGGGACAAAAAAGCACAGACCCACTGCCCCCCAACAAGCATCTTGTAATAGGTGACTAATTATGAGTGCTTTCTTTGAGGTCAGACCGCATGTTTTCTGAGAAGCGAGAACCAAAATTCTGCATACAAATAAGCCAGATCTGTAAAACGGATGTGCATGCAAAAACTTAAGTTCTGGAACAATATTAAAGCCTAGATGTGGATGAACAACCAGGACTTTTCACTGGATTTACTATTTTATAAAATTGTTTTGCACTGATTTTGACAACAGTATGGGGTGCACCATTTAGAAAGAAATGGCAAACTAAAGAATGTAAAATTGCCCAGGAGAACCATAAACAGGTCCCACAAATGCCGGTGCTGGTGCTGCAACATCCTGTAAAGGAAAGGCAACTAATTTTCTTTAGTAAGATTATTATTATTATGTCATTTCTAGGTATGTTGTGAATCATTATATAATGTATGAATCTACTGTGACTTAGCATAAATCAGTATGTAATGTATGAACCTATTATGACACTGAATTAATCATTATGTGAACTTGCCGTTTGCTGTGAACTTGCATGAATAATTTTGTGCTAGGATCATTGTAATTATTATCTGCTTAACAAACTTCCAGCCATAGCTTTCTTGCTTACTTAGATGATCCTCTTCTACCTCAGGTTGTAGAGGTTTATCAGAGAGATCACCAGCCAGGCTACTCTAGCTGTAGTTTTCTTTTTTGCTTTGTTTCATTCCAATCCTCTGTCAGTCAGGGACTGTCAGATGTTGTCTTTCCAGTGAATCCTGGTGGTCTGGTTCCTTGATTATTGGCCTCCCATGCCTGTCATGGTGGCTGATACTCTCTCATTCTGCACACATGTCCAAACCAGAATAACTGTGACTGATCCACTTCAGTTTGTGAGGCCTGAGTATCAAGATCCTGATTACTGTCTGAGTGCAGACATTGACCCTTCTTATCACTTGGTCCACATTTCTCAGGCCTGAAGCTGGCTTCTGTGAGCTATTGTCACTGCCCATGACTCACATCCGTAGGTCAGGACTGGCACATAGAGCAGCAGGCAGCCATTTTCATCCTCTTGCCAATTTCTCTTTTGCTGAGAAACCCTTGGTTTATGGCCTGGAGAAGTCTCCCAGCAGTGTCTTTTTGAGTAGCCAGCTCTCTTAATTCCTCCATTTCAATCTATTACAACTCCAAGGTATTTGAACTGGCTCACCTGCTCTAATGCATACTGTCCCATGCATCATGATCTGGTGTTTCCTCAGCTCTCTTGAGATCACCACCGTTTTCATTTTGGAGATACTTATGGCCATTCCTCTCTTCTCAAGCTCTTTCTATCACACGAGTAAGTTGGACTGAAGATGTGCCTCTGATTTTCAGCTACAACTTTACACATTTTTATGTTATGAAATTGCAGTATTTTTGACCAACCTTTTCTTGGAGATTTCTCTTCTTCTTTCTGTTTTAGATTTCTTTTCTCCTTCTTTTCCATCACCCTGACAGACATTTTCTTAAAATCGTCAGTGGAAGACACCACCATTTTGGAAAACTGAAACAGTAAGTCAAAAATGATGCAGCATAAAGAAAGAAAGCAAATAGAATGTATTCATCATACTAAACTAAAATGGCAGTACATAATCAAATATAATAGTGCTGGTAAAAACAGAACACCAAGAAGGCGGTGATACCATGGGTGCAGTCTGAGGAGAAGCAGAGGATCTTCAAAGAGGCACTCAAATGGGAAATAAATGCACTGAGAAAATAAGGATGTCTAAGAGAAATCCTAAGACCAAAATTTATGAGAGAGGCCAAAGGTGCTGGACTGGATTCCTCCATGAAATCAAAATGAAAAAAGGTTCAGACTTTGTGCCCTGTGTGACATATAAATGAAACAACATGATGATGTTGATAATCAAATTGGTATTTGATTACTAATAATATAATTTTTGGGTAAAAGTATAAATTTAGTCCGCAAACAACCACTTCACATCATCACGCAAGATTTCTTGACCTTCCACTAATGAGCCATGACCTTTCCCATGGGCTGCACTATCTATAGGGGTGTCATGGTGTGTTATTGTTAATGATCTAGCGTTCTGTATTCTGAGTTGTGCACTTATATTTCACATAGATTGCACTTAGAGTACACACACAAACAAACTGCAAAACTGCATCCTCCTCCGCAGCAAGAAAAAAAAAAGAAAACACAAAAACGGCATCCTCCTGATTGTACTCAAGAGTCCCCAATACACCCAAAAAAATGCACAATAAAAAACTGCACAGCACACATAACAGAAGCACAGAAAAGTAAAAACTGCACAGCACATAACTGCACGGCAAATGAAATGCCAAATTACTACATCTATCACCCCCTGAAATATTAGACTGTCCCATGACCTGCGGATTTTTCCTGTTTGGGGTAGGATATTGGAAAAGAGCCGAATCTTGTAAATATTTTTGCCAAAAAAAGATCACAAATCAAGAACTGAGCTTAAAAACAAAATGTTCATAACTGGCAAACATTATTGAAGTAAGACAATGAAGATGACTTGGACATTTTGCAGGATGCCTTGCAATGCTTTGGGAAGGACAGCTCTCTGATCAAAAGCAGATAGAAAAAGCAGACATGAGTGACTGAAGGTAACCAGGAGAAAGACAGTAGAAAGTGAAATGAAGGAATGTAAAATTACATGGGATACAATAGGCAGAGAGTAGCAGACTGGCAGCAGTAAAGATCACAAGTGAATGCCTTATGCGTCAACAGCGACAATAACAGGAGTGACATAAACATATCTTTGTCTTTCCCTTTTGAATTTCTAAGCCTAATTATTGAGACTTCCAGTGAAATATCTCTGATCTATCTCACATGTCATTTTGTATGTGAGATGGTATGGCATCAAGTATCTCTACTGAATTCCATTTTTGTGAATACTATTGTTTTATTTTAATCGACTCTACTGTCAGTAGAAAAAATAATATTATTTTTCTTCTACACTGGTTTTGATTTTTCGTTCACAGAATCAATAACCAAATTATTTAGTTCTTGTACAAGATTGTCAGTCAGGTTTTTAATCTTTTAAATGTTCTGTGTGCATTTTCTAATCAGTTGTATACTCTCATTTACACTGTAACAAAAGCATGCAGTATAACAGTTTTACTTTGTATTCACCTTTGTGTAGTTAAATTTATCCCGCTGCATTAAAAAAAGAGCAAAAATAGAAATGCTTGTTAAAAGTCAAAATTGTCAAACAATAAAATTGCCACATAATATACATGTAATTATATTAATAATTACACTATTTAAAAAAAAGGAACATATAGCCAAGTACAGTATAATTATATTAACAAAAGTTAATGTATTTGAATCACATGTGCAGTATATATGCAACAGAAATACAGTATCTGTAGTCACTGGCCAGAAGTAACAAACTCACAGAATAATCCTGTATCATTGGATACCAAAGAGCACCGGTGAACACAGTTTTTCAGTCAATGCTGCGCTACCAGTGCCAAAAGTAGATACTAGCAAAAATTACAATAAAGAAGACTAAATACTATAGCAAGAAAAAAACAATCTCAGAATGATATTTGGGAGCACAATATCAACAATGTTTTTGACTGAAAAACAACAATTCAGATATGTTAGTCATGGCAGCATGTCTATTTTCAATACAAACAGCAGTGACAATTTAATACAACTGCTACTAAAAAGGATCAAGAGGCACATCATGCACATAACAGACCAGAGATTTTGCAGGAGCAATTAATTTATAGGTAGACAACAAATCAAATGGTTTGGACATGTAACAAGATTGGCAGCAAACAGGGCATCACAGAGAGTAAAGTTATACAGATACAGCGGTAACAGACCCAGAAATATCAGAGACACTGAAAATTACTATATACAAAGCGAACAGAAGGGTCCCATTCTAGAGATTTCTTCCTTCCCTGATGCCGCGAGACATTCCAGGAGTAAAGAAAAGAATGAAAGAAAGAAGAATTAACAGCTGTTTATACATAGACTACACAAAAGTTCTATTTAGTAGGATCATCTTAAACTATCACTGAAAATTCCAACAGGGAAAGAAAAAAGAGAAGAAGACTCTAAAATTACAAAAATTATCTTTTAAAGCATATTCCTAGATTATCAAACAATTGGATGATCAGTTCCGTGGCTTACCTCTCTGTAATCTAACTTTCCATCTTTATTTTCATCAACTTCATCTATCATCTCTCGGACTTCTTTCCTTGACATCTTTTCTCCTTTCTGCAATTGACAGTCAATTATGAAAACTTGCCGAAAGATATTTATATCACATTTACATAATACTACCTCCTGCATGAAGCCCCAGACACAGCTAAGGGTTACAGACTGAAAAAAGCGCTTGGATGGTGCAAGCTGAAGACACAATTAGACACATGTGCAGGCCTGATAAATTTGGGAGAGGATAAAAGTTGGTCAAAGTGTCCAAGCAGGAATCAGACTTGTGTAGGGTTCTAATCACATTAGGCTGTGAGTGCAGGGACTGGCCAGTTGGTGCTGCAGAATCAGAAGTTAAACAAATGATTCATGAAAATTCTCACTCAGGGGATGTGATTATCTAAACAAATGGCTCTGTGTTGAAAAGTGGATAAAGACCGAGGGGTGGGGTGTTAGCAAAAGCTAATGAGCATTGCTTAGTGGCATATGACACAACACCATCTAATTTGAGAATGGAAGTGGAGGCAGTCACTGCAGCCAGAATCAGAATCAGATGCACACACAGGGTGTGATTTAACCTGACTCACAGAGCATGTTGAGAAAGGTGAAGACAGGTATGCTCCGTGAGGAGTAGCAAGCATCACTTCAGAGGTCCCAGGTAGTTAGCATACATTGGATATTTTCTCCAGGGTATGCTTGTGTATTGGGAAATGAACAGGCATATAGACGGGCTGGTTCTTCACAGAGACAGATGTTGTAATGACCCTTTGGGAGCAAGAGAACAGTGAGAAGGTACAAATGGATCATCATGGTCTGAAGAGAAGGACACTGCGAGGAGGGACCAGGGGATCTAGCCCATGATCAACACAAAGTGGACAGGTGAGATGGATATACAATCAGATTACTACTGGTATGATCAGAATTAGAACTCTGCACTTGCTGCTGAAGATGGGGATGGAGCGCTGGTGGGAATGTCCAGAGTGCTGTGATGTATCGATATATCAGCGAAATGTCATCAAAGAGTTAAGAATGGAAACATTGCCAAGAGCAGATAACCAAGCAGCAGTAAAACAGCAATAACAACAACTACTTTTTTCATGTTGTGGAATATTTAATTTAAAAAACAGCTTACTGTTGTCAGAATTTTGAACAACTCATCAAGAGAAATATATCCATCCCCATTCAAATCAATCTTTCGGAATGCTTTCATTAGATCTTCTTCTGTCGTAACTGGCTCTTTTCGGCAAATATCCACAAAGTCGTCAAATGTCAGGTCCTCTGAGGAAATCAGATGTTTTTTGTTTTGTTTTTTAAATTAATACAAAATTAAGAGATTTGAAAGACATCATTTATAAATATAAAACTACTATAATGAACATGAAAATTAAATAAGTACTGATCTAATTTTATAAATGAAAAAAGAAAAGAGGTACAACATGCAGAGGACATGCTAGATAACAAATTACAAAGTATTCTGCTTCTTCTTCTTGGTTCACCGGCTGTAAGCTCCAGTGGAAAATCTTGTTTGTTCATCCATCTGGACTTTGGCTTTGTGCCAGGGCCTGAGTTTTGCATGTACATCCATTTTACTGCTTATTTGTGTTCAATTGGCTGTTCCTTTGCTGCTTGAGCAGATATACTCTGACTTGCACATTTAAGAAATACTTGTTCAAATACTAATGAAGAAAGCTTTTTGTTCTGTCAATATGCAATAGTATGTTGTACTGGCATCATTATTTAGGCATCATTTCTTTTTTGTCAGGCTACTGTAAAAGACACTTTGTGGCGGCTTCCAGCATCTCTTTTTCTTTTTAGACACTTTCTGGATGAGTACCAGCATTAATTTTTTTTTTTAATTTAAATATTTAAAAAAACCCTGTAAAGACACTACTTATTTGAGAGAACTAGCAGCAGCGGAAACATTAGGATCAACTGAGCCTAAAATGGGTATTTGATTATATTCTTCTACTTAGCGTTCACCGGCTGTAAACTTCTCGGGAAAGTTCTGGCTGTTATTTCATTTCTGGACTTTGGTCTTGTTCCAAAACTTGAGTTTTTTTGTGCACATCCATTTTTAAGATCTGGCTCATTTGTATCCAGATGGCTGGTACCTTGCCTCTCAAGAAGATGCACTCTAACTTCAAAGGAAACTTCCTTAATGAGTCGCCTTGTACGACATGCTTGTTAGGGAGGCAGTGGGTCTATTCTCTTGCCCCCAAAATGGGGCCCTAGAACCCATATGGGGAGGTACCAGGAAATTACCTGGGAAGTAAAAGTGGCCTGTGTGATATTGACCAATAACCATCAAGTGTGTGTGTGTCTGTTTGGTGTGTCTGTCCATGTGTGTGTGTATATGTGTGTCTATTTCTGTGTGTGTGTGTGTGTGTGCATCTGTGTGTGTGTGTCTGTCTATCCATCTGTGTGTGTCTGTATATCCGTCTGTGTGTGTCTGTCTGTGTGCATGTCTGTCTGTGTGTTTTCCCTCTAGCCATGTGTCTGGAGTGTGGGTGGACTGGGGACACTGGGTGGATCGTGCAGCCTTCATTCAGTAAATTTGTGCATTAAGTCTGCATTAAAACTGACCCCCAATTCAACCCTGCCTCAAATGGGTATGAGGAACTGTCCTGGGAGTAAAGGTGGCTAGCAAGATATTGACCATATCACCCACTGAGCGTTGATTGGTCTATAAAAATATGAATTTAGCATCATATATCTGATACCTGACATGAAAACATTCCTTGTAAACAAAACTCACCTGTATCAGGAGACCAGTACTTAGAAATGACTTTGTTTGATGCATTACGACCTGTCTCCTGTAAAACTGGGGATTGTAACAAATGTAGAAATATTAGGTAACTTAGTATTTTATTTGTCACTATCAAACATGGCAGCCACCGTGGGGTAGCAGCTAGAGGCTTGCCTGCAGATCCAAAGGTCGTGGGTTCAAATCTGAGCGGTGCTGGACTTTTTCTAAAATGACCTTGACTTCTAGGTCAACCTAGAGCCTTAAATTGGTAACAGGTAAAGTTCTAGGAAGTAGAGATGACCGGGGTGATGATGATCACTTCACCCACCAAGCATCAACTGGTCTTTTTACAGGTCTATCCCTATATGCCCAATATGCCTGAAGGCATGGAAAAGTTGAGTTGCGTTGAATCAAGAATTGACATCACTGCACTCGGGGCATTCCCATGTGTGCTCCGTCCTCATCTTCAGCAGCCAGCGCAGAGTTCCAGTACTGATGGTACCGGTCACAATCTGGTTATATGTGCGTCTTGCCTTCCTCTGAGTGTAGTGAGCCGGCCAGACCCTCTGGTTACACCCAGGTGCCTCATTCTCTCCAGGCCATAATAAACTTGTTTCTTTACTGATTCTGTTAAGTCATGGAAAAGGGTTGGGTCAGTTACTTTTACTTTACTTACTGTCAATTATATATTACTGGGTTAACAGACATGCTGGGGACGATGATAATGGTTGAAGCAGGGAGACTGGCAAAGAATCAAGAAACTTTCTGGTAGGTTATGATGAAAGTGATTTTCGGCCAAAAACAACTAGTCATTTGATAATGAAAAGCAGATATTATAAATGAACTGAATTGCTCTTTTTCTTCTTCTTCTTAGCATTCACCGGCTGTACATTCCAGCTCTTTACCCCCCCCCCCCCCCCCCCCAAAAAAAAAAATGGGGACCTGGAGCCCACAGTGTTAGCAAATGTAAATAAAGGAGATTAATCTGCTGTGTTTTTGTAATAAGTCACCCCAAACAGACAGTCCAATAATTCAGGGGGTGGTAAATAGGCTGCATGCAGTTGTGGGACCAAGGCTCCATGCAGTCGTGGGACCTAGGCTGCACTCTCTAGTGGGATGTAGGTGGGTTGGGGTTAGGTCCAGTTCTAGATGTTTTGGGGTAGTTAAAAGCACCACAAAGCCAGGAAACCCGGTCTTACCACCCTATAAAATATTGGACTGTCCCCACGACATCATCTGGGATGACTTATTATGAAAGAACCTAATCTGCTAATAAATAAGAAAAACTAAAATTCCCAGCAATTAAAAAATGTGAATGTAAAGACATATTTGTAATGTACAAAAAAGCCAACTTCAAAAATAAAAACAAATATCAGAAATTAACATACGTGTTATTAAGTCATCTTTGGATTCAATTCTATCTTTAATATCATCATAATGACTGAGAAACACTGCTCGACACTCATGCTTCAGTTCACCATCTGATTGATGTGATGCGCGGCTTGAGATGGAAGTTGCTGATGATGGTCTGCTCAGACGTCTTTGAGATGTCATTTCCTGTACACAAAGTATATTTACAATGTTTAGCTTGCTATATAATTATTATAGTAGTAATTTAATTCTTTCTTTATAGGCAGTTGTCACTTCTACATTTTTAAATTTCAGAATTTATGTACCTTTGAGCAGTGTTCTTCAACCTTCTTCTTCTTTTGTCATCTCACTGATACTAAGTTTTAGCCCATTGTTGTGGTTTTCTGTATTTGTCTTGCACTTTATCAGGGTGGCTTAGGTGATGGATTTGTTTATCTTGTTTGAAGATTTCAGCTACATCATTTATCCATTTCTTTCTTAGTCTTCCTCTCACCGTCCTCCCAGATGTTGTGCTGTAAAAAGTCTGATATGCGGTTTGGTCTGGCTGCATTCTCATTGGATGGCAAAACCATTTCATACTTTGTCTGTCTGTCAATATAATCCAGACGTGGTCTTTTTCCAGCTTTCTCTCTAATGCTAAAATATGTTCTGAACATAAAAAAAAAAAAAAATCTGACTTAACAACTGAATCTCTTTTTTTTTGTGTGGAAAGGGGGGAAGAGGGGGGGGGGGGGTCCAAAGGTAATAGAATGTTCTGACTGTCTTCTATCAAAGGTAGTTGTCATATGAAATCTTTGTATCTGAATTATTACTCTAATTGCTTCTACCCCACAGTGTTTTTGCTGAACTCCCTAGATCTTATTATTTTTTGTTTTAGGCTCGATTTGTTGAGAAATAATGAGTTAATGTAACAATTGTTTGATACAGAAAGAGTTAATTAACAGGGTCACTCATTATCAGAATATGTTATATTTTAAAGGAAATCTGGAGGCACTAGTGTAAGCTCTTCTTAGAAAGAACAAATTTATTTTTTTTTCAAAATTGTCTGTGTCCGAATGCTGTTAGTAACAGCCAAGTCCAGTAGGGCTGTCATGCTGAACGAACAAATAGGGAGCTGGTTCCGAACAACAGTAGGTGTCCATCATGACTCCCTCCTCTCCTCACCACCGTTTAATAACTTCTTAGAAAGAATTATGACTGACGCCCTAGAACGACATCATGGAACAGGCAGCATAAGAGGTTGAACTATAACAAACTTAAGGTTTGCAGATGACATCGCTAGATTGGCCGGGGAAGAACAAGAACTAGATGAGCTTGAAAATCTGCTTGATGAAACATCGACCAAGTATGGCATAAAAATAAACACAGAAAAAACAAAAGTAATGACTAATAATCCTGCTGGCATAACTTCACTAATGTACATTAGAACAACTCAATCATTTCAAATATTTTTAGATCCATTTAAAGGGACCTGGGGTTAAGAGCAGTTATCATATCTAGCACTGCCCAGACAACATCAGGAACCACACATATAATAAAGCCAGATCTGTGAAATGAATGGCACGCAACTCTCAGGTTCTGGAGCAAGACTAAAGTCCAGAGATGGAAGAACACTCAGAACTTTCTGCCCGAGTTTACAGCTGCTGAACGTGAAGAAGAAGAAAAAGAGGAAGAAGAAGAAGAAGAAAAAGAAGAACTGGAAGAATCATTGCTATATTGCTTGATTTTGGAATTATAGTTAAGAGCAAGTCTCAACTGACTCCTGCTATCTTTAAATTAATCAAACTTGATGTGTAAAAAGTAGAAGATGCAGAAGGAGGAGGAGGAGGAGGGACAGCAGCAGAGACGAAGAAGAGGAGGAGAAGGAATGAACTAATTTCATTCAAACTATTTGCTTCACTGTGTAATAATATAAAATAAGCTAGTAGTATTCCGTTATAAATACATCTTATGTGTGAAAATGCAATCTTGAATAATAGGAATAGACAATCCTCATCTTTGAAGTTACTTTAATTGTTGTTATTTTTTATTTTTGTTCTATAAATATTTTAATAATTTTATATCTTCTTCTCCTTCTTCTTTCCTTCGCTTGAAATACTATACATTATCTATATCTGCAATGTCTCTAGTATAGTAGTATCACTGTCACTAGTGCATCTGT